GGATTATTTCTTGTTCTTTCTTAAACTGAAGGTATAACTCGAGAGAGTCCCAGTTCCATGCTGGGATTTCCTGTTGTGATCCAGGTCTTGGGTGGGCCTCATGTTTTAGCACCTGTTTCCTGTACTTCATTCCATTCAGCTGTTAAAAGAGACACTAAAAGTCACTGGCATTGAAAAATATTCKTAGTGTGAAATTTGTATTTGCTGATTACTTACTTTCTCCTGGTTTCCCATCACTTTGTTTTTTGGTTTCTATGGATTCCTTCTTTTGCTGGCTTAATTTTTTTTCAAAGTTTCATTTTGTTTTTGTATGTTTTGTTTTCATCAGGAGGTCAGAAGTATGTAATTGCTTCTTCACTATGAATTCTGTAACACTAATAGGTATTAAGTCTAAAATTATCTTTTGCCTAAGTTACAAAAATAGGAGCAAAACAATCAGAAAAAAACAGATGTCTTCTCTGTGTCATGTTCTCAGACAAAAACCAAGGAATCCTGCTAGAGCAGGGATTCTGCATACCACCATTTTTTAACCTTTATCCCAGTTAAGAATGGCAGATTTCATAAGCTATTGTTAGTTTTGGTGGGGTCATTCATATTTTTAAGTGTGGAGATGGAAATTATTCAGAGCCTTTTCTGTTGAATGTTTATTTGTTCTACGCTCATTTTAAATCCAGGGGTGCTTGATTGCCATTATTTGACATGATGAAATTTGTCAGCCTTAAGTGAAATCCTTGAAGAATTTGTTTGTAAACTTTTCTAAGATGTTAAAAGTATACAGCGAAAGTTTGGTTTGGCAGTTGATTTCTAGCAGCTATATCTATTTTAGTGTTAAAAACACTTTTGAAAACCACTCATTGGGCTGGGCACGGTGGCGCATGCCTGTTATCCCAGCAGCTCAGGAGGCTGAGGCAGGAGGGTCATGAGTTCAAAGCCAGCATCAACAACTGTGAGGAACTAAGCAACTTAGTGAGACCCTGCCTGTAAATAAAATGGAAAAATGGGGCTGGGGATGTGGCTCAGTGGTAAAGTGCCCCTGAGTTCGATCCCTGGTATCCACCTCCCCCCCAAAAAAACCCCACACGAACTCATTAGAAACCAGATTGTTTAGCATAATCACTTTCAATTAGTGTTAGGCTAGAAATAGGAGTTATGATTATTTTGGCAGAGAAAGTCTTGAATATATTCCATGGGAATGCTTCTTTTGTCTCTGGAGTTCTGGGCCAGGGAGGACTCTGACTTTGGGAAGTCCCAACAGACCAGGCCTGACCACTTGCCTTAGAAATCAAATTAAAAAGTAATGAAGTAGGGAAGGAGTTCATTCAGTATAGCCACACTGGAAAGACAAGCGTAGACCAAGTGTCCTTAGCTCTGTCTTTGGGGGTGGATTTAAATAGGGGAAGGAACTAAAGTGGGACCAAGAAGTGTGCACCCTAATTAAGCAGTCTATCAAAACTGTGGTCTGGTTCATAGTCTTTCAGGTCTGGTTCTGTGAAGTCCTGATGGCTTCTGGGTAATGGCTCCAGGGGAGTCATTACCACTTGAGGGTACAATCTGGTTCCCATCAGAGATGGGAAATATTTAGGGGGGTGTTTCCCATCATGGAGAGATTTTCCTGAAAGGCTCACTTTTCTTGGAATCTTGAAAGTATCTTAGTTACACTTGTCTCAGTGTCTTCAATCTGGAAGAGGAATGAGAGAAGCTAGATAAATTTAGGACTAGTTAACATTGTATTACCAGTTTTTAGAGACTTCTAAGTGATTAACATGTGTACATTAATTGTGTTAGGGTAGAGAGGAGACAGATAAAATGAAGGCAGAAATGTCAAGCTTTTGTCCTGCTTTTAGTTACCATCATACATCTCTAGGCCTGAGTGAACAGTTGGTATTTTAGCAAAAGCAGCCTCTAAGAAGGTCCCTATTATACTTTGCCTTTGCAGAAATCTGTATAGCAACAACATTACCATAGTAAGGTGTAGTTTACTGTGATACACTTAGTTTAGATTTATAATAAGGCAATTTTTTTTTCTGTTTTGATCTACTGTACTCCCTCTTTCCATAACTGTAATTCATGAGCTGTTGAATTGTGTTGCTTGGCATGTATTGGCTAGGATTTCCCTAGAGTTTTGTGTTCATTATAGTCGTCTTCAGAGGCATTGATAAATATGCTGGAAAATAATAGAATATTAGATTAGAAGGGACTTTTAAAAAATGACATAATCTTTTAATATCCTGAATAGTTTTAGTTGTGAAAATCTAAATTTGTATACAGGCTTTTTTGAAAACCTGATAGACTTGGAACTGAGGGTTTAGAAAAATCACCAAAGATTCTTAAATCCAGAAAGATTAAATGACGGTGATCTATAACTGTTTTTATTTTTGCATTCTTGGCTTTCTCTTTCCAGCCTTCTGAATTGGCTTATGGTTCTGCTTTGTTGTTGGGATTTCGGGGCAGTACAGTGATGATAACTCTGGGACCTCTGTGCTAGTGCTTGCCAAACCAAGAAAGGGTCTTATTTTTTTGTTTTATGGCTGTTCCCTCCCCCCCCCCTCTGTTTTTTGTTTTTTTCTCCTGTTATTTCTTAGCTTTTACATAGGGCAGATCAGATTTATTAGTGTGATTATATATCTGGGAAACTGAGGCACRGTGAAACTAATACTTGACCCATAGTTGAAGCTGTGAGGTTAAGGATGAAAGTACATGTAGGTACATGTATATGTAAGTACAAATGGACATCTGGGGCGATTAGAATACAGAATGTGTTGCTGGAGAAATAATGTTCATGTCATTCTGTTCTTATTTCATTTTTATCCATTATCTCATCCTACRTATGGGACACTATAAAACCTTAAATTGAGCAATTTCATAGGTGTCTTATAAAAAAGTTTTTAGGTTTTTATAGGTGTCCTATATCTAAGATGGTGGGACATAATAGGTTAAGGGTCAGAAATGCTTTCCTAAGGTGTGTGTGCTGGTATTTTGTTTTTCTAGAGCGATTGAGGGTGTATTTTATTTATTTATTTTCATTGTTTTATTTTATTAGGCAGTGAAGTTAATACTTGATGTTTTATGTAATAATAGTTATACATAATAGCTGAGTTCATCCTGACAAAATCATACATGCATGGAATCTCACCCATTCCATTTCAGTCTCCTCTCTCTCAACCCCCTCCCCTCCACTGCTCCTCTTGCTCCTCCATTATTCATTCTTGATTGGTGCTTTCTACACACACATAAAGGTGAAGTGCCCCGGGGCATTTATATATACACATGACATAATTTTGTTAAATTCACTGCATTTTGAAGTGTATTTCATATGATAGTTCCTTCTATTTTAGTGGGGAAGCGGTTTGACTTATTCAAATGAATAATATTATCAATTTGAATTTTTAAGAACAAGTGGTAAAAACATGGGTTTATTGATTATTTTCTACATACATTAGGAAGTTTTGTGGCAGGCGCTTGAGCTGTCAGGAGTGGAAGGGGAGGACTTAACAGCATTCCACCAGTTTTGCTCAGTGCATTTTGAAGTTGGTTCTAATAATTGTAGTTGTTATAAAATGTGAACTGATACCCAGTTTTAGAAATAAATTATATTCATTAACTAGTGATTATATCAAGATTTTTACATAAAACATCAAGATTTTACGTAAAACCAAAAGTAATTTCTAAATTCAAAATTTAAGATGTTATCCTTTTAYATAGCAAGTGCCTACCTGTTAGCTGAAGGATATTAGAGGAAATATTTTGGGTGGGACTTGACCACCAACTCATCAGGTACCTTTAATCCATGCTTATTTTCAGTCTGGACCTGTCAGGAAGTTGACGACAGGTGCCTAACAAAGGTTTGGGCTTCCCTGGTTCAGAAGCAAGCTCAGTAAGGAAGCAGCAGGTGTGAGATTCTGAGCACTGATGTGTTGTTAACCATGCTCAGTGAGTGGAGAAGGCAGGTTGTGTGTGCTGGGTCTATATAACTCTTTCAGGTGTCATTTGTAGATTTTTTTTTTTTTTGCGGGGTGGGGGTGGGGGTAGGTTTGTATTTACCTGGTAGTATGCTTTCTTGGGAGTTTTCAAGATAAATGTATCTAGAGTTTTCTCATTCTCAGAATTGCTTTCATTTCCCTTTTGAACTTCTTTGAGAGTCCAGGTAGTGGTATTCATATGTGTGATTATCTAGACTGGTGCTCTTGGCCCTGGTTCTTCCTTCTCACTTTCACAAGTTCTTCGGGGACCTCAGGTGCACAGAACTGAGTTGATCCTACTTTTAAGGCCATGGCACATTGTGGAAGATTCTTTTATTGGATTTTATTTTATTTTTTCCTTCTTGTCCATGTCCCATTCCTCTTCTAACACGCACACAGATGTGTTGAATGGGTGTAGATAGATAGAATAGTGTTTTGTTAATTTTTAAAATTTAATTACATTCTTGAAATTTATTCATATGTCTATGTAAGTCTATTTTTTTTTAAAATTCTGGCTTTTCCATGTAGTATGTTGTCAGATCTTATAAATCTCTTTCCCCAATGGTCAGTTCTTGAGTCATAAATGATATTGCAATCAACATTCTTGCTACCTTTGACTCTGGGTGAAAACTTCTCAGTTAAAAACTTATTAGCCTACAGAATTGCTAGCCCATTGCATAAATGCTTATTTCATTTCACAAAGTTTCAGCTCTTGAGATGGCTACTATCAAATTCTGCTCCTGTTTGATTCAGKAGGAGCTTTCATTCATACTTAGAGAAAAGGAACACATTAGGAATAAAATTCCTTGACTGAGGTTTTGGTTTCATGGCAAAGTTCCWGTAAGATAGTTTTCAGTCATATTAAAAACCATTATTCTTCTCTTCAATATCATCCTTTATTTTCTTTCAATAATGTGAGGTTAGTATGATAGGAGAATAGATGCAGTCTTTTAAAGGATATCTCTGTAATGCCTATATGATTGGACAAGGTTATGGAAATGCTGTAAGTACTAAGATTTTTTTAAAATTTTCATTTTACAGGGCGCCAATGCCTCGGCATTAGAGAAAGAGATTGGTCCAGAACAGTTTCCAGTAAATGAGCACTATTTTGGATTAGTCAATGTAAGTATCCATTGATACTTAGCTTTCAGAATCATGTTTGGAAGCCAGTTAAGAAATGATGAATGTTCTTCATAATTTATTACAGAAAAAATGATGATTGGTATTATTAGAATTTTATGCCAAGAGACTTGATTTACAGTTGTAAACTGATGAATGGAAAGGAAAGTTGCCTGAAATTTTAGAATAGTTTCTTGTTAGCTTCATTTTTCCTATTTTGTGAAWAAAGTTTCTCGTAACCAAACTTGCATCTATAGTGTAGACCAGGTGACCTCTTGATTTTTTTTTTTGAGAATTATTTAACTAGAAATAGTATACATGTACAGGTACATAAGTATAGCTATGTAAATGCCTCCATGCGTCCAAAGGGTATTTGTTAGTTTACTTCTGGCATAACCAGTGCTAGCTAGATATATATGAAGGTGCAAAGTAAAAAAAGTATGCATTCCTATCTTTGTGGTAATAATTGTAATTATACATTATTAAAATTCTGGAAGAACTTTAGAATTTTTAACCCTGATTGTTGTTGATTCTGAATCATTGGAGATTACCACATATCTGTTATATAATTGTTGTGTTAGTTTATTTAATACTGTTGTATATCCTGTTAGGTGGAGTCATAGAGAATGTTTTAAAAATTACCAGTTTTACTAAAACTGGTAATGGGTTCTATTGAATAAGTTGGTGTTTCATTAAATATGAGTATGTAATTAGGATGTGTATGAGATGAATTTGTCTTGGAGTTTCCCTCTTGCTTTGGGAATCATCTGCGTGTGCTTTGTGTATAGAGTTTGTAAGGAAGAATCCACAGTCCCTATCCTTCTTTCCCCTCCACAGAACACGCTGCTCATTACTCCTAGCTGGTTCTTTTCTAAAACTTCTTGTAATGTTCTGAATAAAGTGCTTATACTGCTGCCCCTCCCCCCAATAAATATATTGATTTCAGAAATTTTGTTCTCTCCTCTACCTAAAATTTCACTATCTTCTTCTATATGTTTATATAGTAATTTTTAGTTTAACCAGTGTTCAGTGTTTTTTTTTTTTWAATATTTTTTGGACGTTGATGGACTTTTATTTCATTCATTTTATATGCGGTGCTGAGAATTGAATCCAATACCTCACACATGCTAGGTGAGTGTACTACCATTGAGTCCCAGCCTCAGCCCCAGTGTTCAGTGTTTGAGCTAAGATACATGATTGTATTTTCTTCCCTTTTGAATGACTTTGTTTTCTTAGAACCTAGTAATCCGTACTTTATTTTTCTATGTTCTTAATTTTTGTTTGTTCTTCCCAAAGTCATCAACAGAACTAAAATATACAAATAAAAAACCCACCACCGCTGAACAGCTCTCACCACCAGTTTACACTGAGTCCTACCCACCAGATAAATTCTCAGTACTCGGATGCCCTTGCTCTGGATCCTTCTGTCCTGTTCCTGCTGGGTGGACCCTGTGCCTGCCTGGAAGTCTTTTCCCCGACTCTAGATGTTCCTTGTACCTTTTCCTTTTTTCTTAGATTCCCTGTTTGCCTTTTTGATTTCCTTCCTTGCTTTGTAGAACACATTCTGAAATCGCTTCTTTAGGAAATATGCATGGGAGATAAACTTTGATGTAATGTATATTTAAAATTTTTTTGGTTATTGTTATGGCTAGGTATGGATTCCCAGAATTTTTAAGGTATTACTTTTGCTTTTTGGCTTCTTACTGTCAAAAGGTCTGATATCATTCTGATTCTTGATGTCTTCTGAATGTGAATTTTTTGTTTTAAAACTTCTTGGGGCTTTTAGCATTTTCATCATCTATAATATTTTATAGTTTGATGATKTGTCTGTGTCTCCCTCCCCATTATTGTGATGAGTATTTATGGTCCCATTTAGACTAAAGACTCATTTTCTTCAGTTCTAGAATATTTCTGATACTGTTGTTTGGCTAATTTCCTCCCTGTCAATATAATTCCTTTGTGCTTTTTAGATGTCCTGTTAGTTGCATGTTGAAATGTTTAGACTTAATTTCYCCAGTTGCTTATTTTGCTCCCATTTTGATCATTTGCCTTTTTGTTCTACATTTTAGATAGTTTATTCTGCTTCCCCCCCCCAAACTCTGCACTTTTTATTTCTTAGAATGTTACTTTTATTTTTTAATGTTTTGCAAAGGTGATGTTATTATTTTTCTCTGGATATCATTGCTGAGATTTTTGTTATGATTACAGGATTATTCTTGAGATCTCTGAACTTTTCCCCATTTTAAGCTGTTTTATTTATTAAGCTTTCCCTAAGTTTTATTCATGTAGAAAAGTGCTATTCTGAGAAGCTGATTGGAGGCTTTGTGCATTAGGTTGGTGCTTGTTCAGCATGGGTTTCACTCTAGGGTAACTTCCTAGCAAAAAGGGCTTTAACAACAACAACAAAAAAATAGCTCCTGAGCTACTTTGTCCCCTTCCCTTTTCAGTACTAGAGACCATTTTTCTGAGGCTTTCTTCCCCTTCTGTTGGGAGGATTCCTCCACTATATGCCTAGAAGTAGCTTAATTCTAGGTTTTATTAATACTCTTTGCTGCTCAGTGTGTCTCTCTGCACTCCTCTGTCATGGAACCGAAAGGCTCTTGCTCAGCTTCTGTAGAGACTAAACCTACAATTGTCTTCTGCGGCACTGAAAGGAGGTTTAAAGTGGATTTGTGTTTTTAAGACACCTTTCACTCCCAGTTCCTAAGCCTTCAAGTGTCAATCTGCTTTCTCACTTCTCTCCCCCTTCCAGGCACTTGGGATTCGTTTTCCCTCCTGTCTGCCTTCTACTGAAGTTTGCTGACCTCTGTAGTCTGTAGTTGTTTTCTTTATTGCAGTCTTTGGACTTTTGAGTTTTTACCTAATATCCCTTTACTATCATTTTACTGGGATTTCACAAGGAGTAGAGTTAAGTGATATGGTTTAAAATTTCTCTTATTTAACAAGAAGTCTGGCCTCTACTTCTAATGTTTAAATTGTTCATGCTTACAGATATGCTTATGAACAGAACTGTCTAGTGATCAAAAGCCTCATTTAAATTCTGGGGATGGCAAAACCCTCTCATTATTATTTCCCTGTGACTAACCACTTTTATTAGATTTAGACTCCAAAGCTAATATGTGTTTTAAATTGTACTAAATCCTATAAAACTCCTGTTTGAAATGTAATTGCAATTTTAATAGTGTTGAGAGGTAGGATGTTAAGGAGGTGACTAAGAGCCTTCATGAATGGATTGTTGCCCTTACTTTGGGAGTGGGTTGGTTATTGTGGGAGTGGGCTAGTTGTATCCTGATAAAAGGGGACATTTGGCCTCTGTCCTCCCTCTGTCTTGTGTACTTGCTTGCGTTTTTGGCCCTCAGATGATGGAGCATGGAGACCTTTACCAGACGCTGGCACCATGCTTGGGTTTCCCAGCCTCTAGAACTAACAGTCAAATAAACATCTTTTCTTTATAAATTACCAGTCTGTGGGATTCAGTTATAGCAGTAGAAAATAAACTAAGGTAGTATCCCAGAAGAGCTTATTTTCTTTGGAACAAGAATACTTTGTATAACAAAGCCTGTTTAATTTTCTCCCATGTAAATATTTCAGTTTCTTCATTTTATACCCAGCTATTTTTTTTACAGACAGCCTGAGAACAAGTAAAATCAATCTTAGAAATAATTAGATAAATGAGTTCTAAGCTGATAAAATATTTTTCTGCTGTTTTTAACATAATATGATCTCAGTATCACTGATGATCAGTAGTACTAGTACATTCTCATTAAACTGACATTCAGTAATACTAGTGTTAATTACATAAAATAAGGATTTTGTAAAAGGCATCCTTTTTATTACTCCCCATGGRTCAGTCTATACAAAGGGTAGTGTTTGTGTGTTTCCAAAAAGCCAAGTAATAGTAAAACCAAGAGAAGCAGAGGGAATAAAGTTAGGAAGAGACAACCACCAGAGGAAACCTGATTTTCTTCCTCAGAGAGATTAATTTCATTTCACGATTTTTTTTTTTAAACCAGGAATTGAACTCAGGGGCACGTGACCCCTGAGCCACATCTCCAGCCCTATTTTATATTTTATTTAGAGACAGAGTCTCACTGAGTTGCTTAGTGCCTTGCTTTTTCGGAGGCTAGCTTTGAACTCGTGATCCTCCTGCCTCAGCCTCCTGCGCCGATGGGATTACAGGCATGTGCCAATATGCCCAGCTGATTTTTTTTTTTAACAAAATATAATTTCTGGTTTTTACATCTTGTTATTGTACAAAATCCTGAGATCTCTCGGGACCATCTATTACAGATGGATGAATGCCTTGAATGTGCTCAGAAAGTAATTAGTCACCAGAGGACATGTGCTGAAGTGGTAGTGGGATTAACTTTGATTTATACTGTCAGGCTTCTTTGCAATTGTGTTCTTTGCCTTTAACGATTTCTCTATAATAGTCTTTAAAAATTTTATCTTTTTAGTCGTAGGTGGACACAGTACCTTTATTTTATTTTTATGTGGTGCTGAAGATTGAACCCAGTGTCTCACGCATGCTATGGGAGTGCTCTTTCTCTGAGCCACAACCCCAGCCCCTCTATAAGTCTTTATTTTTCAGCTTCTGAATTATCGCCATGTTCTTTCTTCTCTTACCTATCCCTTTATTTGAAGGTTATYACACTACTTAACTCAAGTTATAATTTTTTTCAGGGGAGAGTGCCTTAGTTAAATCAGAGGTCAACATTTTAAGTCATTTTCATCCTGTCCTTTTACCTGTCTGCCAAATGGCCTTATAAACAAAAACTGTATGTAGGTGCTTTAAGAAACTTTGGGGTTGATCTTTTCTAACAACTGGATTTTGWAAAAGTAAAGAGTATACATATTTGTTTCATCAATCTGTTAATATCTAATTGTACATTTCCAGGCTTAATTTCTTTTATAAAAAGTATGTACAGAAAGGTGCTGTTAAATTTGCCTGATTATATCCCTTTTTTTTAGCCAGTGAGTGGTAGGATCACTCAAAAGCATTG